AAAATTTACAAAGTTAAGAATTTCATTGAAATTTTACTCGGAAATTTCCAGAAAAATTATAACTTTGGTCACTATGGTTCAATCGACGAAACTATGGTCAAATTTAAGGGAAGATCCAGTCTCAAGCAATACGTGCCTTTAAAACCAATAAAGAGAGGCTATAAACTTTGGTGCTTATGCGATTCCATTACTGGTTACTTATTCAACTGTAGAATTTACCAACGAAAAGAAGAAACTAGTGAAAAAGAAACACTTTTGGCCGAACGTGTTGTTTTCACCCTTATTGCTGACCATCATTTCGAAGGAAGACATTTGTACTTCGATAATATTTTTCCTTCACTTCCGTTATTAGAGAAGCTAAAGCTGCGGAGAATAAGTGCCACAGGGACTATTCGGTCCGATCGGGTTGGTATTCCACCGCACTTTACTGTGAAAGAGAAAATGGAACGAGGTGATCACAAGTCAATTGTCATATCAAACACTATTATCTTCAAATGGATGGATACGAAGCATGTCTTTCTAGCGTCAAACGACCGTGAAAACACTGAAATCGTTACAATCTCTCGACAGTTGAAAAACAAACAGCTCATTGAAATTAACTGCCCGAAAGCAATAAAAGACTACAACAAGTTTATACATGGAGTTGATCGGTTCAATCAAATAATATCCTGCTACACCTTTGATCGAAAGTCTAGAAGGAACTGGCTTCGGCTTTTCATTTTCTTCTTCAATGCATCTTTAGCTAATTCATTTATCTGCTACAATCAATTAGGTCAGAATAAATTATCATACTTGAATTATTTGGTTTCCGTGGCTAAGTCTCTATGTTCTGGTGCTGAGCGAACAAATCTTGGACGACCTCCTTCAGACAAGAAGCATAAATTAGCATCACCACAATCTGCTGATCAGTTGGACGGTGGGATGCATTTGCCTGTCAAGGGAACCCGGAAGAGATGCGCTTATTGTAGCACAAAAGAAGTGCAAGTTCGATCAACCATCGAATGCTCTACTTGCAAACTGGCTTTTTGCGTAACAGACGAGAAAAATTGTTTTGTTGAATACCATAAAGTTTTTATGGAAAAATTTTGAGTCAGATTCAATAAACCGATAAAAAGAATCAATTTTTGATGAAAACAAAATTCCGTCCTGAAAGGGTTAGTCCCCAAAATAATGAAATGTATATGAAATAATATCTATAACGTCGAATGGTACAGCTTGTTTCGCTACTTTTTGTGATGTATTTGATTTTGAAAAGAATGTTTCGGAGAACCAGAGAGAGCAAATGAAAAACTGTCTATTTATTATGTGCCATGCTTTAGTTTCATGTTAACTAAACACCACCAACATAGGCCAATCAACAACAGCCTAATGGCAAATCATTGTTTTTCAATAGCAAAACTTGTTACTCATAGTTTGCCGAAATTTTTGAATAATAAATTACTGTTTGAAAATGTTCTTCTACAAATATGAAAAATGAAAAAAAAAGTAGAAAACGTTATCGCATTACGAGGAGCTATCATGAAACAGGATTCTTTCTCAATAAAAATATACGCATCAGATAGCCCGTAAAAAATTAGCTTCAGATATCTACTTTTTATAAACAAAAAGTATTGACACCAACCCGCTGAAAAACAAATAATACTAAGTTTTTGTTATGTGGTCACGTAATACATAGAGTAGTTTTCCAAAGTCTCGCTGCATAAAAGTTTAGTACATATAGACATGGCCACGCATCAGTCACCCTCGTGTGGGGAAGGTTCAAGATCACAAAAGTGAAGAATAGTGTCTCGACAGTCGGAAATGTGCTATCAACAGATTACCAAACCTGTTGCAAGCTATAAGATAAGTGATATAAACTCCACTTTTTCGTCCGACAGGTGTTGAAAAAAGAGATTTATTGGCTTATTTCATCAAAAAAGCATAATGTGTCACTTTTTCACATTGCATTTTGTCTAAAAAATAGATAGAAATTCTTATGAGATTCCATTGCGAGAATAAAACTATCTGTGTACAACTCATGTATTAGAAAAAAGATGAGTTTTATCTTAACAGTTTGAAATGGAAATTTCTGAAATCTTCCCCTGTAGAACTACAAAAACGATGAAATTCTGTAACAAAGTGAAATTCCGTAACCAGCGATATTTCAAGTTTTTTTATTTCATGAAGCTAAGACGAATCAGAAATAACCTGATATTCTAATAGCTCGTTAAGAGCTGAACAACTTTTGAATATAACCTTCATCTGAATACTTCGTTCCTTCGTATAAAAATGTTTAACTCGTAGCCTCCCTAAGAGCCAGCCCATATAAGCCACGACCGACTTCATAGAGACCCTGCTCAATCGATGTCGTCAGATTTAGCTGAATTCAAGATATGTTATAGAGGAAAGAGTTTTATGATTTTTGACGCAAGCCGATTAAAAAAAATATTGAACCCTCGATTTTTTATGAGCATTTTACGAAAAGGTCTAAAAATGACCCTATTTATAAATAGGGGTCCTAATGAAATGATATCTCACGAATGACTCAACCAAATGAGCTGAAATTTTTAATTACCATGTATCTCAATGAGTTTTATTTACCATAAAATTCTGTTTTAAAATATTGAACCATTGGGATTTTATGAAGCACTCAATATATGGGAAAAGGTCCATTTATGGTAACTTTGGCACTTCATAACGTTTGATAGGAATGATATATGACTCTCAAATTTTTACTATTAATAGAGCACTGAGAGATGTATCTCTTCTGAAAATTTCAGATATCCATACCGTTTCATTTGCTCAGGGCAGTCCCATGAAAAACGAAATTTGGATAAATGTGGGGACTTTCAGGATAGGTTTTCTCCCAAGATATGGATTGTCTGGGGCGTTGGTTATTAGAATTTGGAAGTACTCTTTTTGGGCTACAATCCTGTAAAGAAATTAGCGTGGGATCTCCGAGATTGGCCCAGGGCACTCATTGCAAAATACGAAAAAATGAACCTTTTTTATAGGAAATCTACCCAAGTGCACTTCGAAATTCCTCCAAACAATTGAGTATGTGATATAAATTTTATGTAGTAAAAATCAGCATTAAATTCTCTATTACCCTGTATCAAAATATCCTTTGAAAATGAAAAAGAAATTTTTACGAAAAATCCCCCCAGGAGGTATTGAACGTAAGCCATGACCATTTTAAGCATAACCTTGCTCAATCGATGTCATCGATTTGGCTGATATTTTTACTGTAGATAGCCCACATAGACTTAGGAATAAACTGAAAATTTCAGCCGAAATGGCCTAGCCATTCTTGAGATATGGCCGTTACAAGTATGAAGGGGTAGGCTATATTTAGTATACCTTTTAGAGCACTACTTTTCAGTAAATTTTCATTTTCCAGAGAACAATAAGAGATATAACCGAATTTTTTTTACCATGTATACTATCGATGATGGGCTATCTTTTCGTGGCATCAGAAGTATCTTACTCTAAGATAATATTTCCTTGGTACTATATACCATTTTTAGAAAAGGTGTTTCCAGAGATAAGGCCAATTGGTCGAATCAGCGCTGTAGAATTAATCGAGGCTAGTCTCATTTGAAAGAGCAGATCACAATGCGTAGAATGACGTTTTCAGAATTTTGTGCAAATGAACTTTGGTAGCAAAAATTTCTTGAACAAGACTAGAAAGGCCAAATTTGGGGTCCGATTCTCACTGTGAAGATTAACGATTTATTGTCAAATGTTCAATCTAAGTATTTCAGATGAAAGCCCATGCCGAGGGTATGGGTGGGTGTGCGTGTGTGTTTTAACTTTTATCACGCACATCCGTACCGGCACCCCACACCCATACCCACACCAACACCCAAGCTGAAGATGATTGAATAGAAGGATCGAAAATTCTAAAACACTAAAAATTAAGTGAATTGAAAAACCAAAACACAAAGCTACTTGAATCATTATGATATCAATTCTTTTGAATATTTACGTAGAATTCATGAAAATTGTAGGAAATTTCGATTATTTAATGAAACGTTAGCCAACACCGAAATCATGTCATCTGTTGATGTACCTACAATTAATTTTGATCCAGTTCAAGCAAATTCTACTTCTCCTCATGGACAATATACGATGTTTCATCAAGCGTATAAACGATTGCATAGTCTTGCACATGAACTATCTCGAAGTAAATACGATCGTTTATGGCTTGCACAATATCTCGGAATGTTTAGTATTGATCAAGATGGACCCTATCGTGATTCAATATCATGTATTTGTGATGATATATGCAGTACACGATTACCATTGTTTATTTTGTGTCCTAATGGACGAACCAATAGTGGTCTAAAATCGTGATCGTTGGATTTCCAATGTATTTCCGTCAAATAAATCGATACCGGATCCAATCAAAAAATATATCGTTTCATTGCACAATTAATGGGCATGGCTATACGAAAGAAACATTATCTAGATTTTAAATGTCACAGTTTCTTATGGAAACAATTAGTTCGAGATCAAATAACAATTGAAGATATTGAAGCAATTATGATATATAAAGTTTTACATTTATCAATGAAATGGAAAAGACATATCAATGATTTAATAAATAGTGTTTGGTATGATACTCGATTCGAAGGTATTAGTGCAGCTCGTAAAATCTATGAAGTTGTTCCTGGTGGTCAAAAGTTTCCAATTACAGCTTCTAATTTTAAAGAATATTGTAAAATTTATCGTCAAATTGAATTTATTCGTCAGGGCTTATTTAGTATTATTCCTGGTTATTTCCTAAGTTTATTTACAGCAATCAAACTTGAAGAAGTCGTATATGGAAAAGGCAAAATGGATATGGATTTATTAAAACGAAATACGATTTATAGTGAACATTACAATCAAAACTCATTATGTATTCAATATTTTTGGACGGTTCTTGTTGAAATGTTTACTGAAGAACAGAAGAAAATGTTTTTGAAATTTGTTTGCGGACGATCAACATTACCAAGCTGTGATAAGGATTTCCGATGGAAATTCCAAATCAATCCATATTATGTAGATGATGAAATGAAGCATAGAACACTTTCAACGAAGTAAAATATCATATTCGCATATTTCATGGTAACGTATTTCAAAATAGGAACGAATAGCATAAGACTCGAGACTCTATCCAAATCCAAGCGGATTCAAAACTTTAAAACAAAATATTTTTTGATGAGACCAATGAATTGTATAAGTTTCACATTTTGACCAGGATTACTAGCCAGAGATATGAATCTAAGACGGAGTCTTGTTTGTGTATATTTACAGTAGCAAAAACAGTTCAATACTCATATCTGAAGATTGACCATACTAACATTATTCAAAAAAAAATAAACATTTGATGCTCTATACGAGTTTCCAGGAAAGTAGATAACTTTCCGGAAATCAAATAATGCTATAGAAAATAAGAATAATTTCGCAAACTAATACTGTTTTGACCAATGAAAAGTGAAGTGTTGAGCTAGTACATATAAAAACCATCTCTCTCGACATGGTGCTATGAAAGTACACAGGCTCCTTCTTTACCTTTCTGTGCGTCATGCCTATTATTTTCACCTTCCTAATAATGTGAAAAACAAATGAGTTTCCTGGAAGCTAACGCAAAGCACCGAATTGATGCATTTATTTTTATCTGATCAGTATACAACAAAATGTTTTAGCACATAGTTTGCATATAGAATCATCTTTGTTCCAACATCAATGTCTCAACGA